CATCAAAAATTTGCAGCAGACATTTTAAGGATAAGATGTTAATAAAAAAGAAGAAACTTACTCTGCTATTACCTTATGCTGTACCAATTCTGGTAAATATTCAGTTAATGACATATTCATACTATTTAGTACAATTATCTTGTTTGTTACAAACATTATTTTGTGAATTTTAATAGCAATAAATGACTGAGACAGGCTTCTTTTAGACTCTGAACGCGATTCAAGTTTTAACAATCAATATTAAAAATTTTAATCTTGAATCTTGTTCAGAGTTTAATATACCTAGAACTTTAAATTAAATTTTCTGTAAAATGCATCTTTCTACACCTATTTTGTATTAATTAATGTTTTAAAGATAGTTAACTTTTAGGAAACAAAAGCTTGTATTCCAACATCTTCCTCCATCAATTTACATGAAGAATCACTTATGGAAATTGATAATAATTTATGCATTCATGTAAGTAGGTAAACATTATTAAATAAAAATAATATTATTTTTCCTCGACCCAATACCGAATTGAAGGGTTAAGTGGGCAAAGGTGTAAACTAGCAAATAGTTCTAAACAACTAATGAGCCTTTGAAAATAATAAATAATCATATGAACTGAGGAACTGAAGTATATAGTTTTAAAATACAATATTAGTATCAATACTTAGATAGATTGATTATTTTATATATTATATTGAAAAATAGGTTATTCTATGCAAATTTATTTAAAAAAACAATGAAAGTATGTATATAATACACCTTTGTTTCCTACAAACCATATTAATTAGTTAAGAAGAACTTACAATGGCTCTATGTGGTAAAAAAATAAAAATAACATTATTTATATGAAATAGTATTATTATTTAAAAATAGGTATGCCACATGTTCTTACACACTATTTATGTGGCCTGTGGCCATCTCTAATGATATTGATATCTTTATTATAAAACCATATTTGCCTTAAATAAAATGCTTTTGATATGGGAATTTTAGGTAGAGGCTGAGTTTGTTGTATGTCAAAAGTGATTTTTTTTCCACTAATACACATTTCTCTTTCTTGTTTTTGTAACTTAAATGCTCTTTTGTAGTTATCAATATGCTCATCAGTGTGTGTATTAGAATTACATTTGTTACACACATCAGTTTTAGGTTGTTTAAAATATAGACAAAATTTTGTATTGAATATATTTCTAAAAAGCACCTTCCTACACCAATTTTGTATTAATCAATGTTTTAAAGTTAATTAAATTTAAGGTGTAAACTAGCAAATAGTTTTAAACAATTAATGAGTGTTTGAAAATAATAAATAATCAAATGAACTAAGGACTAAAGCATATAGTTTTCAAATACAATATTGGTAGCAATACTTAGATAAGATTGATAATTTTATATATTATGTTAAAAAATAGGTTATTCTATGCAAATTTATTAAAAAAACATAACACAGCTTTGTTTCCTATAAACCATATTAAGTTTTGTTAAGAAGAACTTACAATGGCTTTATGAGGTAATAAAATCTTATTATGTTATCACATTTTTAAAACACCACAGTTCCCTCCACCAATGATAAAGAATTAAATAATAAAATGTAAATTATGCTTTATAAATAGGATTCTTATTTCTAGTAGAACGGACAGCCCTTGTATGCTCTGAAATTTCCACCAATATTGGTATGGTCGAACGGTACCGTTTATCCAAAGGACGGATCATAGGAGCTTACTAACCATTTTCCGAAACAAAAAGGGTATACCTGACAAGGCGGCTAATTAGCCATCTTTTTATCTGCATATAATTTCACATTAAAGTATGTTAGAAGTGACATCAATGTGGCTGATTTCTTATCACGGTCTGTAAATCAAATACAGAACGAAATTCATAATGAATGCTCAGATCTTTATAAAACATTGTATATTAAATTTATAGATAACTCAGTTATAAAACGAATAACTGTGGAAGATATAAAAAAAGAAACATCCCGAGATAATCTTTTAATAAAAGTGTTAAAGTTTATGCATAAAGCGTAGCCTCGAAAAGTGTCGGATCCGTTATTAAAGCCATATTTTCTTTGTCGGTCAGAGTTAGCCGTAGAAAATGGTTGTATCCTGCGGTGCCATAAAGTAATCATACTGTCAATATTCCGCGAGCAGCTATTAAACAAACTACATTCTTCACACTTTGGCGTGGTAAAAACAAAAGAGCAGGCCAGAACCTGGATGTGGTGACCACATATAGACAGATAAATCTGAAATATGTACTTGTTTGGCAGTTAACACCTTTGCTAGCGTCTGTAACTATGTAACGAATTAGAATAGGCGTGTTTAAATTCAAGAATCATTAAATTTATCATCAGATAAAACTTAAGTTCAGTAAAAATTAAGTTCGTTTTCAAAAAAAAAGTCGGATTTAATTAATTTGTGTAAATTTTAATTTGTCAAGTAACCTTTGTCCAGTTAGCTCTTCAATTTGGCAATGTATTCTACAGTATTAAAATAAATTACCTTACAAATTATAATATTGGTACATTAGGGTGTTAGGGTGTAATTTATCTATAATATTTATGTATTTATAAATATATAAGTATGTTTATCAGTTGTCTAGTACCCATAACACAAGCTCTGCTCAACTTGGGACTAGATGGCGTTGTGTGATAGTTGTGGAATATTATTATTATTATTGTGGGGCATCTATATAGCTCTCTCATCTGGTTGGGTTCTATAAATATATAATTATAAATGAAAATGAAAAGACAAACATACATACATATCAATAACATAAAATAAATATAAAAATACATAAATAAATAAAAGCCCAACCAGATGGAGGCCCTCGGCAGGGGAGACCAAACGGCCGAGGGTTAGGGGGAAAGGGAAAGAAACCGGCGGACGATGCGGGCGGTATCGAGGAGCACCGCCTTCTGCATTTGAGCCCGGAGCGGTTCGCCACGTAGTCCCAGTCGCCTCAGATGACCCGAGAGGCTGACTGGGATTAGCCCGTTTGCAGAGACGACTACAGGAATAATTTCGGTCGGCAGACCACCCCACATGTCAGTCACCTCGTGAGCCAGGTCCAGATATTTTGTTTGCTTGTCTGTTTCGGCTTTCACGAGGTTCTCGTCATACGGAATGGTAATGTCGACCAAAAATATCCTTGACTGTGCCCGGTCCATCAGCACAATATCAGGCTTATTCACAAGAATAGTCCTGTCTGTGATGATGGCTCGGTGCCAATAGAGCCTGGCGCGATTATTTTCGAGCACGGCTTCCGGCAATTACTTGTAATACGGCAATTTCCGATCCACGAGACCGTATTTCAGAGCGAGCTCCTGGTGTAGAATTCTGGCTACTAGGTTGTGCCTGTGCAAGTACTCAGAGTTAGAAAGCGCCGAACAACCGGAGATGACATGCCTAAGTGACTCACCGGGATGGCGACAAGCTCGACAGATGTCCAACGGTGCCATCCTTTAGGATGTATCTCCGATAGTTGTTGGTCTTAATAACCTGATCCTGTATTGCACAGACAAAACCCTCGGTTTCCCCGAAGAGATCACCAAAGCGTAGCCAGTGGAGGGAGGCTATTGTGTCTACGAAAGGCTCATGTAGAGCCTTGTAGAACCTCCCGTGGAGCTCCTTCTCCTTCCATACGTGCTCCCGGTCGGAAATGCTCTGCACTGCCGGGTCTTGCCATTGCTCGTTGGCTAAGGATAGAGGGGTAAGTCCTTTATCACTAGAAATGACGTCCTTATAGAATGGATCATCCGATCTCGCCAGGAAGTAATTACGGAGGCTGCACACTTCGCGATTATGCATGGTGAGCGCGCTCAAGAAGCCACGCCCACCATGCTTTCGCGGCAAGTACAGCCTCATTACCGACGATCTCGGATGATGCATCCTGTGGGACGTCATGGTAGTGCGGACTTTTCTATCCAGGGCGTTAAGTTCAGTCTGAGTCCACCTGAGTATGCCAAAGGTATACATGAGGACAGGCATGACCCAGCCGTTATATGCGTGTGTCTTATTCACACCGGACAAAAGGCTGTTAAGCACTTTGGTCAAGCGTGCATAAAACACGTCGCAAACCGACTGTTTCATACCAGCCTCATCGATACCGATGTTCTATGACATACCCAGGTATCGGTATGTTTCAGCCTCGGAAAGGGTCCTTAAGTTGACGGGCATAGATAAGTCTATGCCCTCAGAGTTAGCAACCCTCCCCCCTTTCAACATGAGGACCGCACACTTATCCGTTCCCAGCTCCATTCCAATAGAATTGCTAAATTCACAAGTGATGTTTAGCAATTCCATAAGATGGGAGCGACTGGAGGCGAATAACTTGAGGTCATCCATATAGAAAAGGTGGGTCACTTTTGTACCTCCTTTTCGAAGCTGAAACCCCCTCCCGGAGCCCTCCAGTAAAGTACTGAGAGGGTTCAGGGAGAGGCAAAACCAGATTGGAGTTAGACAATCGCCCTGGAAGATACCCCTTCTTATCCTTATGTGGTTCTCCGCAGCCATCATCCGCTCGCCCAGATAGCAAAGGATCGTACTCCATTGCCCCATACACTGCTCGAGGAAGTCTCCAACTGCACAGTCAATTTTGTACAGCTGGAGGACTCTCTTTAGCCATGTATGGGGCACCGAGTCGAATGCCTTTCTGTAGTCTATCCAGGCGGCGGAGAAATTCCGACGGTTGCGTTTCACCACTTTGCCAATGACCGCGTCAATGAGGAGTGGTTCCTTGGTTCCACGACCACCGCCCCGGCATCCATTTTGAGCGCGTGACATCACCTGATTTAGCTCCAGGTGACGAGTGATTCTCGCGCTCAAAATGGATGTCAGTGTCTTATATATGGTGGGTAGACACGTGATGGGGCGGTATTTGCTCGGGTCTGTGGTATCCTGATCTTTAGGAACCAAATGAGTGATCCAAGTAGTGAAGAGGCTCGGGAGCGACTTCTGATCTAGAGCCTCTTGAAACTGTCGGGCGAGCACAGCGTGACACACTACGAACCCCTTCAGCCAGTAATGATGCAGCCCGTCGAGCCCCGGCTTTTCCAGTTCGGGGCCCTACGGACCGCCTCAGCCACGTCTTCAAGCGTTATGGTGACGGGGTCCATAGGCGTAACACTTGCACTCTGGCTCGCCACAACTTCCATCAAGGGCCCTCGCTGTTTTACGGGCTCTGACCACAGGCCACGCCAAAATGCGACAGTGTCAGCCTGATCCGGTCCTGGGCCCGCTCCACATACCTTTGGTCGCTCCAATGATTTATAGAGCCTCTTCTGATCACTCTGGAAGAGACGATTCTGGTTGAACCGCCTTGACCTCTCGTTAAATCGTCGAATCCGCTTCCCCCAAGCAGCGACTTTTTGCTTCAGGTCATCTATGCGCTCCGTTAGTTTTTGCGTGATATCCGGCTGGAACAAACTGATATTTGTCCCAGCAAACGCCATCCTAACGGTGCGCATAATTCCTCGGTCTATTATTACCCGACCTGAAGCTTGTCAGTCTGCCGATAAGGGCCCTTGCCTTTGCGATACGGTCCTCAATTCTTTTTTCTCCAGGCTGGGATGGCGCTACTTTTTTGAGTAGCACGTCCAGCCACGGGAAGTTTGGCGCCAATAATACCGCATACTACCAGTGCGGCGCCAAAAAGAATTGAATCCGTCTCGCAAAGGTCCCGGCTGGCTTCCAAATAGGTCACCAGCATTGGGTTAAGAGCCCGCACGACAGCCCGATTTCGCTTGCTAAGGGGTATGCGGGGAAGTCGCGGTCGATTTTCGAGAGGCATACTGCGCGTTTCCAGCATCGACTCTTCCAATATGCTCCTCATTTTCTCTAGTTCGTGGGAGACTATTCCATCATCGTCTGAATTAGCCACAAATGGAATTTGTTGACGGCAGCATCCACATATGCAGTTTGTTGCGCATCTAGTGGCGCCGCATTCCCAGCCGTAGCATTTCCATTCGATGAAGGAATAGCCTCACGTCGTAGTCGCTCGAGTTCGGCGTCGCCAAATATGTTGGAGCGCAGGATGTACCTAACTCGGTCTGCCAGGTTTTGCTCAGTGACGGATAGAGATGGCTCCAGCTCTGCAAAAAAAGCGATGCATCCGAGCCCGATACGCCAAACATCCAGTTTCTTCCCCTTTTGCCCTAAAATACGCCCGCAGTGCGTTTTCATTCATTGATTTAGACCAGCGCATGTGACGTGCTCCACCAGCGGCGGGTGCCGCTTGCTGAGTCCGAGAAGACCCAGCCAACACCAAGCCTTCTGGTGGGGATGATGGATGCGGGGGGCTGCTAGGTGGTCTTGCAACACCCCGCGCTCGGCTGGCGGCCCGCATGCTGTCGCGTCCAGCGCCAGCTCCAGACGCGCCCTGGCGACCTCCAGGCAGCGGCCCTTTGCGCACTATCTTTTTCTCCATCATCCATAATATGGGCGTCCATTAACGGGAGATGCCCAGGCCCGGCACCGTATCGTGGACGGCCATAAGCACAAACGGGCCTTTGCACCCTGAATTCTGCCGAGGCACGGCGCTCACACCTCTCGCATGGCACTGACTGACTGCGTTGACGTAGCAGTTTTGTCACTTAACTGTTACGTCAGCGGGCGATGGGGTCGTCAATTCCCTACGCCATTATTATTATTATTATTAATAATCTTAGTTGGTAGAGCCATGCTGCAGTTATATTAGTATTATAGTTGCAGTACGAATGGGGTCGGCTCGACCGGGGAAGGACCACGCTCTCACAGAATACCAGCGTGAAATATTAGCTTAATGCTGCTGTATTTCGTATGGTGAGTGTAGAGAATCGGAGACCGCTTTTACTGGAAACGAGAGGCATTACATCTTAGTCCTCACGGGTGACAACGCATCTCCATTTTGATTTGTAATCGAGGATAGATGTAGATGTTTATGGGCCGCAGCAACCACTTACCATCAGGTGGACTGTGTGCTCGTTTGTCACCCCATCCTATAAAAAATTTCATTATCGAAAGCTTGATCAAGGGATGTTATGAAACTAAAACTGTTGCAGATTTGACATACAAATTAAATGATTTCAGATTGCTCCTGCTGTTGACCTACTGCCGTCGACTAGTGTCAAAAGCCAGTTGAAATAGTAAACCCTCCAATTTCCAATCAAACATCAATAGTAAGTATTAGAATCAGAAAATGTGTCTGTAGTAACAAAGTTATGATTATAAAACGTTTTTTGGGTTTTAGGACAAGACTCCAGAGTACACTCCTCGAACGTTGCGAAAGAAATGGAAACACTCAGAAAAACTGTCGTCCGAACGACTGAAAAAATTAAAGACTCTTCGAGAAAAAAGTAGGCGTTTATCAAAAAAAGTAGCTAAACTAGAAAATATTGTTGCAGAACTTAAAAAAAGTCTTTGATAAGTGAAGAAGATGGGGATTTATTGGAATCTGTTGACCCTACTAATAGAGACTTCTTGAAAAAAATGTTGAACCCCGCCTCCAGTGGTAGAAAATATTCACCATCTTTACGCAAATTCGCCCTTTGCTTGCAATTTATAAGTCCTCGGGCTTACAGGTACGTACGACAACAATTTAATACTTGTCTGCCTCATCCATCCACACTTACCACATGGTACAAAAGTGTAGATGCAAACCCAGGGTTTACAACAGAATCATTTGAATGCATTAAATTAGTGGCAAAGAACAAAAAAACCGAACTGTATTGTGCAGTAAGCATGGATGAGATGGCTATAAGGAGGCACGTCCAATGGGATGGAACAAAATGTGTAGGTCTGGTGAACTATGGGGTAGCCTTGGATGGTCACAATGTAGCTGAAGCTAGGGAGGCATTGGTGTTTATGGTGACATTTATAAATAGTGCATGGAAAATGCCTATCGGTTATTTTTTTATTGATGGTTGACAGGCGAACAAAAGGCAACATTAATTAAACAATGTATGGGTTTGTTAGTAGATTGTGGTGTTAATATAGTCTCCCTAACTTTTGATGGCTCTCCAACCAACTTTTCGATGGCTAAAAACTTAGGTTGCAATTTCGATGAATTGAAAGATATTACTTCGTATTTTCTTTGTGATAAGGAGCACATAGTTATATTTCCGGATCCAGCTCATATGCTGAAACTTGTCAGAAATACACTAGGTCAGAAAAATGAATTAACAAATCTGCATGGTGGAATCATTTCATGGCATTTTATAGAATTGCTTCATAATCTGCAAGAAAGGGAGGGTCTCCATCTAGCTAACCGTCTTAAAAATCAGCATATTCATTTTTCAAAACAAATAATGAAAATTAAGTTGGCGGCACAAACATTCAGTAATTCCGTGGCAGATGCGATAGAATTTTGTGATAAACAATTAAATTTACAAGAATTTTCGGGTTCCCAGGCCACTGTTGACTTTATAAGGAAAATTAACAACTTATTTGATATTTTAAATAGTCGGAATCTGAATATGTATGGTTTTAAAAAACCTATTAATAGTAAAAATGGCGATAGCATTCTAGAATTTGTCAATATAATGGATATCTACATCAGAGGGTTGCAATTAGAGGGAAAACCAATATTGCAAACAAATAGGAAATTTGGATTAATTGGTTTCTTAATATGTATACAAAGTCTTAAAAAATTGTATGCTGATATCATAGTAACGGGTAAAGTTAATTTTTTGCCTATATACAAACTTAGCCAAGATCACCTGGAGTGCTTCTTCAGCTCGATACGATCAAAGGGAGGCTATAACAACAATCCAACAGCCTTTCAATTTCAAAGCGCCCACAAAAGACTAGTGATACACGGGGAAATACAAGGTATTGAGTCAGGAAACTGTATACCTCTAGAATATAAAAATTTTAACTCACACAGAAGTGCGATACTAAAATAAAATTAATATGTACTGCACTCAAGATCTCGAAGACTCGATTAAGGATTTTCCCCCTAATAATAATTTCTTGGTCGATGATGATCACGATTATATTTTTAACCCTTCAAAACTGACCACCTATACTGAAGAAATTATTTCATATATCGGTGGGTTTGTAGTTAGGAAATTAAGAAAAACTCTAAAATGTGAAGATTGTCTGCTAGCTCTTATTAGCGACAAATATTTAGGTCTTATATTTAAAAAAGATAAAGGTGCCTTATTTATCCTTCACGCGATGTTATTAAAGTATGTACGTTGGCAGAAAGAATATTTAGGATACATTCACATAAAGAAGTATCATTCTTTGCAGAAAAAAATCTATTACCGAAACTTATTTTAACTACTTTCAAACGATGCCAGGATGTATTTACGACAAATCATTTTGAAAGTCAACCTTTTATTGGAAACCACAAAGTTTTAAGTATTAAGGCAATTTCCATGCACTATTTTGAACTGCGTATACATCACGCCACAAAAGCATTTGAACCCAAGCAAAAAATTAGGAACCTTCATACGAAGCTTGTTTTGTTTAAAGGACAATAATACTCGACTCCACCGAGTCAGTAATTCATTCTTAGGCCGATGTATACGCTTTTAACACAAATTCCCAGAAAATATACAAAATTTGATGTTGTAGTCAATTCGACCGTATCTTTTTTTATGTGTGTTACCTCAGAATATTATTCTAACGATTTTTATAATTCTTTTTTTATTTGAAAGCTGGTGCTTCTCTTGTGATCTCATATAAGTTTGATCAAGATCTGACTTTTAATTTATCCTTAATAATGCGTATTTAATTGACGTTGATTTTGTTCTCGTTTTGTTTATATCAAATTTATATGAATGCAAAAATTTTATTTTTACACTTCTTGTTGATATTTTTAGTAACGTAACTAAATGTAACTGTATATTGAGAAGCTATAGCTCCATTGCTCATGTCTGATATGGAAGAGAGCTGTAGTAGCTAAACACTTGCTGTCAATTTCATAGTACCCGAGCAATTCGGGTTCGATCCCCCTGGCTTTAATAAAATCGTTTATTGCAATTATAGCTGCCGATTTACCAAACGCTGAACACACAGCGATGAAGGAAAACATCGTGAGGAATTAGAAACTTTATTTTTTTTTTAAAAAACATTTGTTTTTTCAAATATTTTTTAAGTACGCACACACTTATTGGGGCAGTTCAGTCGAGGCCTTTGCCCGAAAGTGGAACTTATAATGTCTGCAATTTTACTTTTAGCTATAATTATCTGGGCGACCTACATAATAGTATGTAGATTCCACTCAGTTTAAAGTAAATAAATTCCTCGCTTGAACTATCAATCAAAGTTCTAAAACTTTGTTGAACTAAGTTTGTATAAAAATGGTTATGATAATATTAAGGAATTTATAGAAGACAACAACCCCCAAGAAGGGTGATTCCTTCCTCAGAGACCAGGGCCAATTCACCAGACTCTCCAAAACCTGTTGCGACACAGGCTTCAAATATGACCGTGCTAAACCTAACATTCTAGTAAACGAACTTCAAGTAGTTCAAAACTAATT